TGTAACCCTGGCTAGCTGCTCCCTAAGGGACCACCATGCTCACCTGAAGCAGGGGGACAGGTGCACAGACATATTCTTGTGGCGCTTCTCAAAGCGATTGTATTTGCGAATGTAGTGGAGATAGTCCCGGCGGATCACAATGGTCCTTTGCATCTTCATCTTGGTCACCACACCTGGGCAGAGGAAACAGATAAATCATAGATCAGTCAGGCCTCATAGGAAAGGGAATCAAGGGTTGCCCAGGGCATGCTGGGAATCAGAAATTGCTGAATAGGGTGGGTCCCCTGCTTCTGGCATCAGCTTTGCCAAGTGGCTTTTCAGCAGTACCCGTGGTGGGTATCTGAAGACCATCGTGAAAACAGACATCATCTGCCAGTGCCCTGAAACCAGGAATCTAGGCCCCAAGCCCCTTCATTCCAATAGTTCAGACCCCCAGAATTCTCCACTCACCAGACAGGATCCGCCCTCGGATGGAAACGTTACCAGTGAAAGGGCACTTCTTGTCAATGTAGGTGCCCTCAATGGCCTGAAGAGATAAGGAAAAGAAAGGAGTGAGCTTTGGACAAAAGAGGACTGAGCATGTGACCTCAGGGACCCAAACTACAATTCCCAGCAGCCCAGAGGATAGCCACTGAGATGTAGGCAGGAACGTGGGCAGGGGCAAGGGAGTCTCTTTTTCTTCTGGGAGTTCCCCCCACCTCTTTTGGTGTCTTGAAGCCCAGACCAATATTTTTGTAGTATCGAGGGAGTTTCTCCTTCCCCGTTTCTCCCAGCAGGACCCTCTTCTTGTTTTGAAAGATGGTCGGCTGCTTTTGGTAGGCACGCTCTGTCTACAGGGATAAAAAGGAAGCTGGTGACTTTGCAAGCTTGGAGCAGATGGATTTCTGGCCTGAAGACCTTCCCCCAAACATCCAGATCCATCCTCTACAGTATTTACTCCCCACAGGCCAGCCCCAGAGGACCAGTGTCCCTGAGATATCCTCTAGAACACAGCCAACCACCATGTACCTACAATTCAAAGACGTCTCGAAGCCCAAGGTAAGTTCAGCTTGCCTGCTCTAGAACACCTCCCACTGCTAGCTGAATTTAATCTCCAGGAACATACCTCTAACACCCTGGGCACCTTTCAGCAATAATTATTTTTAAAGACACAAATCCATTCACGCTGCATTCACTCCTTATTTAATCGAAGAGGGTTCAAATTTAGCTACCAAACGACGGCTCCCCGAACTCGCCCTTAGGACTCAGGCCGCAAACATCATTTCTTAACCCTTGGGCTTTTGGATAATGGCTCCTAAAACGCTTGAATCTGTATTAATGTCAAGAGCCAGCAAGATTTAGGAAGCTGATATCTAAGCTTAAAGCAAACGTATATGGCCCACCTTAATTCATCCCTAGGAAATCGGGGACGCCCTGAATAACCCCAAACGGGGGCGCAAGGTCCTGGCCTCCCAGACCCGCCCCTTTGGCTGAGAGCGAGCCCCGCAGACTCGGCGCCAGCACAGAGAACACACCTGAATGTCCGCCATCTTCCCGGCTGCCTGAAAAAAAAGAGAGCGACGGAAGCGTCCGGGTTTCCTTATTGATTGCGCAGGGGCTGTAGAGGAAGTGACGAAAGGGGCAGGGTCACATGGCTTTGGGCGGTGCCTCGAGAGCGACTCTGATTGACAGGCGGTTTTAACCAAGCATGTGCATCGGAAACTGCAAGTGCGCGGCCATGATGGTGAAAGACTCAGGGGCGGGAAGTGTGCATACTATCTCGCGAGAGTTTCAGGCTCTCATTGCTCCGGGAGCGTTAGTTCAGATTGGCTTGTTTGTGTTATCGCGAGAGTCGTGGGGAAGCCGTCATTTCCCTGAGGTGTAGGTTCACGTGGGATTTGGGGACCGCGTGGCTGGGTTCGGTTAGGCTTCAAACCAGAGTTGATGTGACCATCTTTATGGGACAGGCGCCCTGCCGTTCCTAGAAGCATTGCGGCGGTACCATCTTTGCGAGGGGCGGAAGCTGCCGGATCTTTTAGAAGTTGAATGAAAAAGTTACCCGGCAGTGGCGGGTTTCACTTCCAGATGGTGATTTGGAGCCATTCTTTTGCTTTTTCCGTGTAAGATGGCGCTAATAGAACTTACCGCGATTGTGGAACTATTGCATACCTGCGCTTCTAACTCGGTGGGCAGTAGCATTTGAAATGTGACTTTTGCGACCGAGAACCCGAATATTTGAGTTGTATTTCATTAGGCTGTCCGGTGGCAAAGCGCTCACCCGGCATGGTAGGGTCCTGGGTTCAATTCCCCACATCACACACAGTTGTGGGTGCTGGTGACTGTTGAGATGGGTAAAGGGCTACCCAGGCAGGCCCTTTGCCCTCAGGGGTTCACACTGGCAGAGCCAGCACATGTATTTTAGGTGAGGCCTAACGTACTTATTTAATAACCAATTCACTTGCTGTGGTGCTTTGACCCCTGGAGTCAGGCAGTAGGGGGCATTGTGGCAATCACATACTTTGCAGTTGAACTGGAAAGGGGCAGCTTCAGGTTATTAGGACACTGCAGGCTGTCCCAGGAGGAAACTTGGTCTTTGTGTAAAGTGTGGCCTGCGTGAAGCCTGTTTTTGCTGAGGGCCCACCTCCATAGTGGACATATGCAAAGACGCCATGTTTCTTCAAAAATAATTTATTTGCTTTCGATCACAAAACAGAGTTAAGGAAAGGGGTAGTGCATTTTCCAGTCTTTGCACCTCTAAAACTTGGCCCACTTCAGCAGGTACTCTCCCATTCTGTCAGCTACAGAGTATAGGATGGCCACATGGTTAAGACAGATGGGTGCCCCTATAGCCAAGGAGACCCCCGCTTAGTGTTCCAGCTCATTTTTTTTTTAAATACTGCAAGTAACTGGTAGTTCTATCATTTTTTAAAAATTCATGAATAAGCAGGTCATAAATTCTGACCATACAACTCTTAAGAAACCTTCTGAAACAGAAGCAGAGACCAAGGCTAAGGCCCTTCTCTGTGTCAGCTTTCCAGGTCCCAAGCTGCCTGTGAACCCAGAGAGCTGTACTGGGTCCCCCATATCCCAGGGTGGCGATGGAGGAAGGGCAGGCCAGGCCACACATGAGGCATAAACAGTCTTTATTGGGCTCAGACTAGGAGTCCATTGATCCTGAGGACCTCTGTGAACTTGTTAATTTTCTTCTCCACATTCTTTTCTGCCTGTTTTCGTAGCCTCTGTGGGGTTAAAAACACACAATGGCTTTAGGAGCTGGTTCTCCACCTCAGGCTGGGATGAAGGCAGATCTTCTAGGGTAAGACTTTGCCAGCCTGGCCCACCCACAAGCACAGTCCCCTCCAGGGTAACTCCCTGCCCTCACCATAAGCTGTTTTTTCTTCCGGTAATGGATCTTGGCTTTCTCCTTTCTCTTCTCCTCCAAGGTGGCTGTCACTGCCTGGTACTTCCAGCCGACCTCATGAGCCAGGCGCCCCAGGTAGGCAAACTAGAGGGGCAGAGAAAGTTTTTAAGGGCATGGAGACATGGGAGTCCTCTTAACCTAAAGAGCCTGGACTGAGGCCATGGTGGTCACAAGGGGAGTAACTGTCCTAGAGGATCATGGGAAGGGAATAATAATTCAGTCCCCAGCAAGCCCACATGTGAAGGCGACACACACATCCTGTGTAAAGGCTCCCTGCTCCTGGCATCAGCTAAGCCTTTAGCGTTCTCGGCACTGCACACACACACAGTGGCATCCGCAGACCATCGTGAGAAAAAACATCATTTGCCAGTCTTGAACCTCAGGTTCACCCCAGCAGACCATAAAACCAAGTTAGAGCTGTTCAACCTGGAACTCACCTTTCTTGTTGGCTTCAGTCGCACAACCTTCAGGGCAGCAGGAACCACCATCCGCTTTTTCTGTTGGAGGAGAGGGGCTTAAAGACCTAGTGCAGAGACACTAGGCAAAGGAGGCTGGCTGCATTAGGCGTCTCAGCCAGTTATGTTTTCATGAGGCTCAAACAATGTAGGTAATTGCGTAACATCATGGACGCTGGATGCACGACACTGTGCTGGGGGCTTGGTGTGGCTCACCTTGTCGTAGGGTGGTGGAATCCCATCAAACACCTTGAGGCGGTCCAGGGCAGCCTGGCCTCGTTTGGTCTTGTGGGGCAGCATGCCTATGGCAGAAGGATGCCAGACCTCAGTGGAGCTTAGAGGATGTTCACCCTTCCCCACCAGGGCAGGCATGGGGCGGCCTCAGATGGTAGTGCATGTGGAGTCATCTCATGGTTGGGGAACTCGAACACGAGTGGGAGACGTCCTCATCACTGGCTGCCTGCTGTCACCACCCACAGCCCCGCGCCCAGCTCACCTCGTACAGTCCTCCAGAAGATGCGACTGGGGGCCCGGAAGTGGTACGGGCCTCGGGATGGGTTGGTATTCATCCTCTTGCGGAGGAAGGCCAGGTACTTCACTGAGGGAAGGGGAGAATATGAGGCTTGCCTTGTCTATGACAAGACCTAACAGTTCCCAACCAAACCCTAATGTTCTAGCAAAAAACCTTAACCCCTCTATGATCACAGGTTTAACTTACACTTGTTTCTGTAGAAATTTCCAGAAATGTTGATGCCCTCACAGCGCACAACCACCACCTTGCGGCCTAAAGAGAAGGTGAGGCATTCAAGAAAGGGAAGGATTATGAAGGGCAGAATACAGGGAGAGGGATCCTCCCTTGCACACAATTGGCAGAGCTGGGTTCATACTAAAATCTGAGCCGGGGAGGGAAGAGTTTGGCTGGCAAGTCTCAGAGCGGTGCATGGGGTTGATCTCACAGTCGTGAGACTCAAACGAAAGATGGTGATTGTTGCTCATCACTGACCTGCAAGTGGAACTAAAGGCAGGGAGGACTCTGAGCAGACTTACCCAGCAGTACCTGTTTGGCCACAATGGCCGCCAGGCGGCCCAGGAGATGGCCTCGACCATCCAGCACTAGGACCTGTGGAGACAAGGAAGGGATGAGGAAACTGACAGCTTTACTCTCCCACCTCAAGAAACCACTCTTTTTCAGTTCACCTTGCCCCAGGGGGCCTCTTCCAGCTCAGACCCAAGACTTGGGTTAATAGACCAAAGGGAAGCAAAATGTTGATCCAGCATCACCAGGCAGGACAAGACACCAAGGAACTCCCAACTCCCTTCTCCCTTCCTAAGACTGCATTTTGGATTGACCCAAACCTGGCAACTCCTGTCCTTGGCTCATACAGATACAAAATTTGTTGTCACCTTTGTCAAACTGCAGGCTTCTAATAACCCTACTCTCCTTAAGATGTAAAATGCAATTTTTACCATGGACTTTTTTTAAGTCTGAGACAATTTCTCATTATGTTGCCCAGGCTGACTTCAAAACCCTGGGTTCAAGCAGTCCTCCTGAGTAGCTGGGTACTACAGGCACGCTACCCTTGATCTTAGCAAGTATTGTCAAAAGCCCTTGCTGGATCTGCATCCCTGGGTCCTCAGCTTCCTCATCCAGAATAGAAGCCATCAACATTAATAAAGCACACCATAATGCACTAATGTGACAGTATAAAATAATGGTTGTTATACATACTTGTGTAGTTATTGGAAAGCAGTGCAGGTGGCATCAAATCTAAACCTAAGCTAGACTTCCCTACAATGTGATCTTGGCCCAAAATCTACAACTCACCTGAAAAATGAGGATAGCATCTGCCTCAAGACTATTGCCAATAAACGGGAAAAACCAGTGCACACTGCTCTTCACAGATACACATAGGCTTGATGACTCTTACCACTTGCCTAGTTCTACCTACCTGGGAATGAGCCCAAACACCACAGACTTCCAGGGCCATCCTCTTGGCCCTGCACATGCCAGGCTAGTGCTCCACCGCTGAGCCACAACCTCAGCGCCCCCATCCTCTAATTATGCCTCACACATGCTAGGCAAGCGCTCTGCCATTAGACTACAGCCTCAGCCCCAAGGACCACCCTCTTGGGTACACGTTCAACACAAGACACAGAGCTAAGTTTCTACGGTGTTCCCTGAGGGCCTGGGGGTGATTTGGGGGACGATAGTTTGTCCTATAGCTGTGGAACTGTTAACAGCCCTCTACTTCCAGCAACCCCAAAACAAGGGGGAAAATAAAGCAATTCCTGAACACTGGGAAGGCGAGTTTTCTTAACCTACTGCATAAGGGAATTTCGCATTGAAATGCCACAAGCTGTAGGAAACCTTGATCCCGAATCAGGCTGAAGCAGTTAGGCCTTGGGCATAACGGCAGTGGCCTCCATTTTGGCCCAGCCTCAGGTTCCCATCGCCCGACATCAGTCAGACCGCCGCGTGTTCCCCATGGCCGGGGTCTGAACAAAGACCTGACGCCAAGGGCTCCCACCCGCTACCCAAGATTAAGACAAGGAAGGCGTAACCGTAAAACAAACTCTCACCATCACCCTTCGCCTTGAGAAGGAATAAACTGCCGCCTTTTAGCCACTCCTCGACCTTAAAACAGCCGCGGTTTCTCCTACATCCCTACGGATTACCCACTAAAACCAGCTCCTTTTTGTTAACTGCTGATCTGAAGCTTCACAACGTATGTAGAAGGCAATACTGGACCCAACTCTGTTCCCGACTGGATCCCACGCGACCCCACACCACCCCAGCCGCGCAGACACCGAACCTGCCCCTCCGCCATCTTCGGCAGCCGCCTGGGAAAGAAGGAAGTGTTGGCGCAGGGTTTCTTATCCCTTGCCGCAAGGGCGGAGGCAGCAACGCTACACTGGCGGAGCGGAGAAGTTTCTGTCTTCTCATTGGCTAAAGTGCTGTACGCGTGCGCAGAGATGCACTAGGGGGAAGGCGGGCGGTCTTCTGACTGACCAATCCGGTCGGACCTCGGGCGGCCATGCCTGTGAGGGGCTAGAGATCACGTGGGTCGTGAGGCGGTTCTGTCGGGTGGGGCTGTCGAGGCTCGGCAGCCATCTTTTTGAGGGGCTGCTGATCTACTCCAGTCGACTTGTCGCCGTTACTCCATCAGGCGACTGAGGGTTGCAGGGTACGTGATGGCCTGCAGGGGGCAAGCAGATCCGCCTGGGCAGCCCTTAGGCGCTCAGTCTAGGTTAGGGGATGTGGATTTGATGCCTGGTAGGCCTCGTGGTGAGCAGGACGAACTGCTGCACTTATCTGGGCCCGGCATCCGCCTTTGTGAAACAGGTGGAGGTGGATGATGAAGAAATAACTTCCAGATGCCGGGGCTGCACCAATCTGCTGCGGATCCCAAAGCAGCTTTCCAGACTCTTGGCCTTTGCTTCTGCCATCTCTCTTGCTTGGGATGCCCTCCCTGCTCTTCCGCCCACGCTCACTGCAGAATCTGTCTTGTCATGATCCTAGTGCCTTTGGGCTCATGAGTCCTTTCCTCCAGAGAGCCTCCCCATCTATCCCAGCCTGGGCCAGATGCCTCCTGGGGGATCCCACACTGTCTGTGCTCCCTTTATTCAAGTGTGTGTTATCTTGCCCCGGCTCTGGGGTGCCCTGGGACTCCTCCAAAGACGCGGCGCGCCAGAGCCCTGGGCTGGTTTTGCCTCACATCTGGGTCTTAGAATTGCCTAGCACAGGCTCTGGGCCCCAAGAGGCTTGAACAGAAACATTGCATTAACTAAACAAGACTCAAGCCCTATGCCGTCCCATTCATAACCCGTCCCAACCACAGACAAGTCCAACCAGAACTGGTAGAAAATAATGATTTATATACAAGTTCATGGGGACAAGGGCTTTATACAGAGGGCTGAGTTCTGGTGTACCCTCCATCCTGAGGGGCAATGGTGCCTAGGAAGGGACCAGTCTGTAGCCGCCTTCCTCTGTGTACTGGGCGTGTGTCCTCTGATAGGTGACTCCTCTTGCTGGGCCTCAGTGTCCTGTGTAAAATGGGATGATAAATATGTCGTCGTCTTGGGTTATTTGAGGATCCATTGACAGAGGAGAGGGAAAGAAAATACTTAGCTCCAGGAGCACACAGACTGCCCCAAACAACTCTGTTCCCAGTGAGCAGCAGGCATCTGTCTAAGGACATCACTGTCAAAGAAAAACTCTTGTGCAATGGTGGAAATGGTCTCCATCCCTGCTCTCCAGCTGGTTAGCCACCAGCCACGTGTGACTACTGAGCACTTCAAATGTGACTATGGGGCAACTCAGGCATTTTTTTTTTTAAAATTTCATCCAAGTTTTATTAAATTTAAGAAATTAATAATAGTTATTGAGAGAGTAAGAAAACAAGTGCAAAGCGCAAAGCTCTGCAAGTGCAAAGCTCCTGAATGTTAAATGCAGATCAAGCGGTTCTGATAAAAATGTGTCACTTTGTAGCTCAGTGGTGGACCCTTGACTTGGGTGTGCAGGCCCTGGGTTCCAGCCCTGCATACATTCTTTTGTGCATACATAAAAGAAAAATGTCATCTGACTTTAGACATGATATATACACACTGATTCTGAAATATGCAAAAAGAGAGTAAAGTATTTAATTGACTATAGTTTGGATACAACAGGTAAAGTAAAACATAGGGGCTGGGGATGTGGCTCAAGCGATAGTGCACTCGCCTGGCATGCGGGCGGCCTGGGTTCGATCCTCAGCACCACATACAAAACAAAGATATTGTGTCCGCTGATAACTAAAAAATAAATATTAAAAAAAATTCTCTCTCCCCCTCTCTCACTCTCTCTTTAAAAAAAAGAAAGTAAAACATAATATTTAAAGTATTTCAAGGGCTGGGGTTGTGGCTTAGTGGTAGAGTGCTCACCTAGTGCAGGTGAGGCACTGGGTTCGAGCCTCAGCACCACAAAAATAAGTAAAAATAAAAGCATTGTGTCCACCTACAACTAAAAAAATATATTTAAAAAAAAGTATTTCAAGTTACCTTTTTTTTTTTTGTATGTGTGTGTGTGTTTGTGATACTGAGGATTCAACCCAGGGGTGTGCTACCTCTGAGTTAGATCCCCAGCCCTTTTATTTTATTTTAAAAATATTTTTAGTTGTAGATGGATATAATACCTTTATTTAATTTATTTTTTTATGCAGTGCTGATGATCAAACCCAGTGCCTCATACATGCTAGGCAAGTGCTGTATCACTGAGTCACAACCCCATCCCCTTTTATTTTTATTTTTGAGACAGGGTCTTGCTAATTGGTTGAGGTTGGTCTCAAATGTTCAATCCTCCTTCAGCCTCCTGAATTGTTGGGATTACAGGTGTGTGCCTCTGTGCTGTCTAAAGTTACCTGCTGCTTTTCCCTTTTTCCCTTTTATTTATTTTTTTTTGACGTGAGGACTAGGGAATTGAAAATCACATGTGGCTTCATTGTATTTCCACTTGGCAGTGTTTCTCTGAGGGCCTTTCCTTGTGTCACTTCACTTAGCCTTGTGACAGTCCTATGATGGAAAGCACTATTTTTAGAGACTCTTGTAAGGAAAGGGAACCTAGGTAGACAAGTGAAGGGTTTGTGTTAGGTTAGGGCAGGCTGAGGGCTGGGGTGAAGCTCCAAGGTGCAGTATTTGTCCAGCATGCTCAAGGTGCTGGGGGTGGGGGGTGGGGGCAGGCAGCCTGGGATCAAATCCTGGTTGTCACTCACAAGCTGTGTGACTTCTGGAAAATTAACTTGCCTTTCTATGCCTTGGTTTCAGCCTGTATGAAGTGGGGCTCATAATAGCACTTCTCAATGAAGTGAGTTCATCTGTAGAGAGGTCCAGCTCCAGGCCTGTGCCTGAGTGATTACTGAGTACTATTTCCCTTAGGTCCCTCTAGGCCTCCCTCCTGCTACCCCTGCCTCCTCTCCCCACACCTGTTTCCAGATTCCCTCCTCCCTCCTGGGTTTCCCTTGGTTCCCTGCTGCCCTGGGGCTAGTTGAACTTCCTGAAACACCTGAAGGACTGAGCAAAGGCAGTCCCCCCCACCTACAGGGCCACGCCATTCCTGCCCCAGAAGGACACTCGGTCCTGGCATGCGAACTCCAGCACCCAGTATCTCCCAGGGTCCTCATTCCCTCAGGTCCCCCCTGAATCACTGTCTCCTCCTGATCTTGCTTCCCCCTCGGTTCCCCACTGGCTACCCTGTCACTGGGCCAGACCTGAGGGCATCTGTGTCAGCTCCTCCGCCAAGCTGCTCAGTCCAGTCTTGTGCTTCTTGACCCCCTCCCCTGATTCTCTGCCCCCCACTCTCCCTCCATCGTTCTGCCCTGAACCCAGGCCTTGGCCTCTCTCTGTGGACCCTTGCTGGCCTCCTCCTTGGCCTCCTGTCTCTTCTTCTACAGGTCCTCCTGGGCCCCTAGGAGTCTTTCAGCACCTAGCACCGGCCCTGCCACTCTTCCGCCCACAACCCTCCTGTGGCTCCCAGGACACCCCCACCCCTTCAGCCTAAGTCCAGAGTCCCTGGCCTGGCCTCCCGGCCCCACAGCATGAAGAAGAACTCACCAAGACGAGGCCCCAGCCGGGTCAGCACTCCACAAGCAGCACACCCTGGGGACTGGAGGCAGGGGGCACCTGTGGGCCCCACAGGGTCAGCCTCGGGTGGGCAGGCAGAGCCTCCAGCCCCCCTTCCCTTCCCATCTCTCTGCGCCCCCCTCATCTGTTCCTCACCTGAGGGGCAGGGCGGCCATTCACCCTTCTCCAGCGTAGGCACAGGAGAGCGGCCAGTGGTGGGAGGGCCGCGGGCAGCAGCAGCAGCAGGAACAGCAGGTGGGACTGAGGGGCTGGCAGTGCTGTTGCCCCCAGGGCCCGGGGACTCCTTGGGGGCGGCAGGGTGGAGGAGTCTGAGGAGAGGGGGGACCCGTTGAAGGAGGAGAAGGGTTGTCAGGGAAAGCAGGAGTCCTGCTGGGGCCAGCTGTGGGACCTCAGTGGGCCCCAGCCTCATCCCCAGAGAAATGAGGACGGATAATCCTTGCACTTACCTCACAAGGCCGACACAAAGTCATGAGGGTGTATACACAGCGTGCTTAGGTGAGAACCTGGCTCTTAGGTTATATTTTATTTCATACTTAAACTCAGTTTCCAGTGGTTATGTGCCTGTCATGTTCCAGTCCTGAGACCCCACCCCCATCCCCTGCCCCCAGGGAGCAGGACCTTTATTTGGGTGATTTACCACCGGAACCTATGATTTAAGTATGTGAATGAATGGACATTTAGAGAATAAAACAGTAACAGAGCTGGGCACAGTGGCATAGGCCTGTAATCCTAGAGATTTAGGAGGCTGGGGCATGAGGACACAAGTTGGAGGCCAGCTTCAGCAACTCAGGGGGACCTTGTCTCAAAAAATAAAAAGGCTGGAGTGTAACTCAGTGGTAGAGCGCTTGCCCAGTATGCACAAAGTGCTGGGTTCAACCCCCCATACTGCAGGTAAATAAATAAAGACACCCAGTGACATACAATATATGAACCTATGGTGTCCCTGGGGCTCTGCAAATCTGGCCCTTTTTTCCTCTCTGTACCTTCAGCTTCCCTCCTACCCACTCAGCTTCAGTCTCACAGGCCTCCCTGATGTCCCCTAAACACAGGCAGATTTCTGCCCCAGGGTCTTTGGCACTGGCTATTCCTTTGTTCCCAATTTCCAGTAATTTCCAACCACCACCCAGCTCAGGATTCTATCATCTTGTTTTAATTTGATGACAGTGAGCTACTTTCTTGTTTATTTGTGTGTTGGGTGTTTATCAACTGTTTCCCGGATTAGTGTGTCAACCCTGAGCTGCAGTTACTTGAGTTACTTGGGTTGTTTTTGGCAATAGTGTAGATGAAGCCCAGGGCCATGCACATGCCAGCAAGCGCTGTGCCACCGCCCTACAGCCTGGCCTGATTTATTTATTTATTTATGTATTCAGATAGAGTTGTACTGATTTACCCAGGCTGGCCTTGACCTGCGATCCTCCTGCCTTAGCTTCTGGAGAAGCTGGGATTGCAGCACCTGAATCACTAAATAATTTTTTTTAAACACTGAATAGAGTTTGGGGGGATATTGCATTAAATAAAAATATTAAATTATTGATATCTTAATAGAATCCTACATTGGGGATGTGGCTCAGTGGTAGAGCACTTCCCTAGCATGTGTGAGGCACTGGGTTTGCTCCTCAGCACCATATAAAAATAAATAAGTAAAATTAAGGTATGTGTCCATCTACAATGAAAAATATTTAAAATATATATACATGTATATGTGTCAGAGAGCATAACGACCATGAAGAAGCCAGCCATCTACCAGCCAAAAGAGTCCTGGAGCAGATTGACTCTCACAGGCCCTGGTGACAGCGGATCTTGGACTTTGGCTTCCAGCACTGGGACATCTGTGGTTTAAGTCACTCTGTGGGGCTTTGTCACGGCAGCGCTCACAAACTCATATACACACTCAAGTGTGTATAAATAAGTGGTAAAATCCGAATAAACTCTGTGGATTGGACCAATGTCAATTTCCTGGTTTTAATTTTGTTCTATTAGTTAATTAACAAGCAAATGTAAACTGGAGAGGCTGGGCATGGAGGGCAGGGGATCGCCTTAATGTCTTTGCAGTTTTTCTATGATTATTCCCAAAGGCAAAAAAGCTTAAAAATAAAACAACTCGGGGGCTGTGTTTGTAGCTCAGCGGTAGAGCGCTTGCCTAGCATATGTGAGGCGCTGGGTTCCATCCTCAGCACTACATAAAAATAATAAATACATAAATAAAATAAATAAAGATTTTTAAAAATAAATAAAACAACTATTAACTTGCTAAGAAATAAGAAACATTGAGTTGGACATGATGGTGCGTGCCTGTAATCTCAGCCACTCGGCAGGAGGATCACGAGTTCCAAGCCAGCCTCAGCAATGTCGAGGCACTAAGCAACTCAGTGAGACCCTGTCTCTAAATAAAACACAAAATAGGGCTGGGGGTGTGGCTCAGTGGTCGAGTGCCCCTGAGTTCAATCCCCAGCCCAAAAAAAAAAAAAAAAAAAAATTAAAATCCTGAGGAAAAAATGAATCCATCTTTTTTTCCCCCCACATGGCAGCCAGGAATTTAAAACTTAAATAAGTGACTGCCTGTGTCTGTGGTCAGGGTTTCTTAGACACACAGGCAGGGACTACAGCTTCCTTCTCAAAGATGGGTCAACTGAAGCAGAAAGGGGAATGAACTTGCTCCAGGTCATAGCAGTGGGGAGCAAGGGCCCTCTGGGACACCCTGAGCAGGAGGGACAGGAGGGTACCAGTGGGCTTCAGGGACTGGGAGCCGTTACCGGGCTGGCACTGCAGCTCCAGGCACCGAGAGAAATTCCGGCGGGTGATCCAGGGCTTCAGAGCCACCAGCTGCTCGAGGGTGTCCTGCAGGAGGTGGGAGATGTTGGTCTGGACGAAGCGAAGGCAGCTGGGGAGGGGCTGGGAGCAGGGGAGGGAGATGTCACGGCCACATGGCCCCAGCATCTCCAGCCAGCCAGCCCAGGGCTTTCCCTGCCGGCAACATCCAGCCATGAACCCAACGAGGCCTGAATCTCAGAGTTGAGACCCCCAGACTCCCTGGTGGCAAGGGGACATGACCCCTTAGCTGCCCCTCTCATCGGGGCCTAAGAAACCTGGGCCCAATTGTGGAGCCCTTCACCATCTTCTGGTACCCAGCAGCAGTGTCCCTGGGGACCTCAGGGACATTCTCCCTTGGGGCTCTGCTGCCAAAAGAACTCCCAGTGAGGCTCCGGAGCTTCACTTGCCGTGCCTGGGAGGCACCCTCCCCTCATTCATCCCCCGAGCTCAGGGCTGACCTGGAAGGCACATAAGGTGACAAAATGTATTTCAGTGTTGACGTCCTCCAGGAGGATTTTCATCTGAGACCCGGCCACAGTTTTGAGTTGCTCCATCCAGCGCTGAGCCAGTACCAACTGCCACAGCGCCTTGCAGAGTTCTTCCTGGGGAGGGACAGGCCATACCCTCAATCTGAGGGAGGAGGCTGGGCCTGGACCACTGGGTCTGAAGGAGGAGGGTTGGTCCTGGTTCCCTGGGTCTGAGGGGGGAGGCTGGGGCTGGACCCCTGAGTCTGAGGGAGGGGGCTGGGCCTGGACCACTGGGTCTGAAGGAGGAGGGTTGGTCCTGGTTCCCTGGGTCTGAGGTAGGAGGCTGGGGCTGGAC